CCTCCTCCTCCTGCTCCACCTCTTCCTCCTTCTCCTCCTCCTCCTCAGCCTCCTCCTTCTCCTCCCCTTCTTCCTACTCCTCCTCCTCCTCCTCCTCCTCCTCCTCCTCCTCCTCCTCCTCCTCATTTTCGTTTTCGTCATGTGTTTCTTCCTCCTCCTCCTCCTCCTCTTCCTCCTCCTCCTCCTCCTTTCCGTTCCCCTTTCCCTTTCCCTTTCCCTTCCTTTGGGGGCGGCCCCAGAAGGAACCGCCCCAGCAAGTCCCACGAATTCAGCCACGATGGGAGCTCTCCGCGGGTGGCGCTACTGCCACTTCCGCCACCGCTCTGGGTTCCACGACAGTCCCGCCCGCCTCTGGCGGGGCAGGCCCGAGAGGACGAGGGGTCGCAGGAGGAGCGCCCACCCCCAGCGCACGATAAAACTCCTCGGGGTCCTCGACCTCAAAGAGGACCGAGCGGAGGCCCTCCACCCAACCCTGCTCCCGAGGCTCCCGCGGAGGGGCGACAGGAAAGGGGCGAGGGCGGAGGGATCCCGAGGAAGGGCCTTTGCCCCCTTTCGCAACGGTTTCGAACAGCGGCGGCCCCAGTCCGTGGGAGGGACACAAGGCCTGCCGATCTTGAGCACCTGCTGGGTTCCATGCGCACCGCATCGCGAGCGCCAAATCACTCCTTCCGTGGGCCCCTCCGCCCACCGCGACCCCTGGGCAAGGCCGAGCGACGACCTTGCAGCGATACAAGGCCGATCGACCGCAGGAAACGCACGCCCAGCGACCGCGAACAAGCTTGACTTGGTGGCCCAGAGGGTCCGAAATCATATCGAAGCGGGCCAAGCGGACTCTGACCACCCTAGGACGGACCACATCAGGAACATCCGAGAGCGCAAAGTGGTGCAGGATACGGCCAGTGTAGTACGCTACGCGATGGCTAGCCCACCAGGCCAACGCGCGCCTGCGGGCCCAGTCTTCGCCCCTGGGATGCGCTTTGGCCCCTCGCTTCGCGAACTCATCCGCCAGAACACTGCCGCGAAACAAGGGCCAGGGCACGCCCCGTCGCTGGGCATCTGGCCAGCTTTTGCGAGACGGAGCCCAGCGAACCGAAGCGCCGTCGGCCCCCAGGCCCTCCAACTTAAACCAAATACGATCCCAGACTTCAGAATGGGGCCGGCTGGGGCGCAAATAACGAGCCTTGCCAGCCGCAGCCCCGTCGACGATCGCATGGCAGTCGGTCGCGATCGCGATCGGCACGGCCGCGAAAGACAGGCACTGAAAGAGAGCCCAGAGCTCAGCGAGGCCAGTCTCCTGCAGGGCAGCGGGGAGAGGCCCGAAGCAGGCGCCCTGCGACATCCCGTGCTGATCGACCGAGACAACCGCCCAGCCTCCCCTCGAACAAAGCGGAAGACCGGGGTCGAGGATGCCCCCGTCAATGGCAACAGTGCCAGTGAACACTCCTCCCGCCAGCGGCCCGTCCGAGAAAGTCAGGCCCGACTGATCGGGGGGCGGCTGCAAGCGAAGCTTGGAATCAAGTAGGCATCGGGACAGCAGAGCATCATCCTCGGCGCAGGCGGCCCCCGCCTGGGGCACTGCGTCGAGACCGAAGCTGCCCCGAACCCTGTGGGGAAAATCACAGCGAAGAAGCATATGCGGGGTGTCGCCCGCCTCCTGGCCACAGACCATGCAAGTCGCGGGATCGGCTGCGCGCGCGTGAAACAGGCGATGCTGCGTCCACGGTCCTCCTGCGACGTGCGCGGCCAGGCAGGCGGCTCCTTCTTTAAAACCTTCTCGAAACAGCTCGGCCTGGCCGCGCCTCGCCGGCTCGAGCATGGGAGGTCCGAGCAGGGGTTCGAGCCCCGTCGACCCCGCAAGCCCCTCCATGCGCACGCGCTCAGCACCCACGCCCACGAGCTTACCTCGCGTGGCAGGCCAAACACTCTGCAGCTGAATCACCGCGCCCCCCGCCGACCCCACCCAGTGCCTTTCCAGCCTGGGCGCGACAGAGTGGCCAAGACGGCCGAACAGGGTCCCATGACTTTGTCGGAGAAAGCTCCGCAAACTTTGTCAAAGGTCCGAGCCATGAAAGCAGCCGAAAACCAGTGCTCGACGACCGCGCGGCCCCAGAACTGCAGCGGCAATTTGTTAGCCGCATGGACGGGATCTGTTTTGGGGGCTGCCGACAAAGCAAACTGCAATGCGCGAGACCGACCCGCCGCTGGGGCAAAGATGGCCGAGGCCGAGGTGGCCCTGAAACTCTCGAAGACTCTGGCGGAGACGCCCGTGACTCCGGCCCCGTAAAACGCGGCGGCGGTTTCTCCAGACTTGAATATCCGACCAAGGCCCTTGCGAGCGGACCGAAGCAAACGGAACCGACGGACCCTAAGCTTGATGGAGCACAGCCTACGCGCTTGAGTGGCCCGAGTAGGCCTGCTCAGCGAAAATCAACACCGAAGTTTTTAACGCCTTCAGCCTCTGGGAAATTCCACGCACGCAACCTGGAAACCAGAGCTTTGGCGACTTTCCTTGTAGACGACGTGAGCTGGCACTTCCAACGAAAAACCTTGAGCCCCTCGAGCTCCAGTCGGGTGCACAGCTCGAGCGTGCCCCTAGACTACGCGGCCCCCTCGGCCTGGGCCGGACAACGTGCAATCGTCGACCGCCAGGTACGCGGCGAGCGCGGTCCCACGGATGACCTCATCCAGGATGGGCAGGAGGAGCATGCGAAGCAACGTCGCGGCGCAGGCGCAGCCTGCGACGATGCCCTGGGAGATGCGAAACGTGCCCTGCGAGATGAAGACCCCACCTGCAGGGCCCTCGTCCCAGAGCGCATGATGACGAGGAGGGCCAGCCGACGAAGGGTGAACAGGAGCTCCCGGCCCCTTCGAAGATACCGAACGCGGGGGGCCATCTCATAGGCCTTCTGGAGGTCCACAAGGGTGCTGGCCGAGGCCTGATGATTGGCCTCGGCCCACTCAGCCGCGAACGCCTGCATCCACGCCGCCTGCTCACAAGAGTTGCCCCTGATGCCAAACGCCCAATCTCGCGGAAACGAGCTCCCCCACTGCACCGCGCAATCCCGTCGAAGAGCCCCAAGGGCGCGGCAGAACGTGGCGGGGCTCCCAATCAGTCTACGCTCCCCTTCGGGCTTCTGAAGAAACCCAGTGCTCTCTTTCCGCAGCTGAAGCGGGAACGAAATCAGCTCCTTCATCTTCGTCTGGAGCCTCTGAGAACTCTGCGTAGCCTATCGGGGCTGGGGGGCTCATTTATCGGGGGGAGGTCAAGCCCTTAGATATGCGCGATGACAGCTTGAATCCTTGACACTTCCTCCTCAGACGACCTCCAGCCCCACGTAGATTTCCACCCCGACTCCAGGTCCCTGAGGAGGCCGCCCGTCCCAGCGCGCGCTCCGTCCTGGCACTCCGAGGCCGCGTCTGGGATCCACTCGGCCGGCTGGCGGGCGATGCGATGGGCACGCCCCCCCCCCCCCCCCCCCTCCATGACGCACGGCTCGAGCGACCGTCTTCCTCCAGTCCTTGGCCCTCTGCGCAGCGAACCTGCTCTCGAGTGCTCACCGCTGAGGTGGGCTGCTGAATCACATCAGAGAGGTCTAGCTCGGGCCCCAGAGTCTGCTCGGACAGCCACGCCCGAAAAGAGACCCACTCGGCACAAGAACGAAGCTGACCAGCCCACGAGAGAAGCCTCTGGCACAGATGCCGCGCGTCGGAGTCCGACTGGCCACGAGAGACCAACGACTCAAGCTCCTGAAGATGGTGCAAAACCTTTCAGCGGAGGCCCTGGGATCAACTCCACCTGTTTGCCGCAAAACCGACAGCCGAACAACCGTGGCCCCACGACCCCTTCCAGCGTACAACTTCGCCTCCACCTCCGGGTGGCCGCGGAGCAATGACAATTCAGCCTCTGCCTGATCACAAAACGCGAGGTAGCCATTGGCGAGATCCCCCCAGGTGGCGACCGACTCTAAGCCCTGAACGACACGGCTCCAATCCAGCCCAGCAAGGCAAGCCCCCGCAGGAAGTTCCAAGGGGAACTGTTTGGGCAACCGGTGCGAAAGGGAGTTGAATGGAGGAAGGAGCCCCAGACACCCGCAGCTGCACAACCCTGCGCGGGCTGGTGGCAACATCCCCCTGTCGGGAACATCCGATGACTCCAGAAAGAAACCCAGCTGAGACCACGACATACTTAAGCGTGTGCCACTTGGCCACAGAGCTCCTGCACGTGCAAGTCCCAGGAGGCGACGCGATGACAGCCCCCAGCGAGGCCGCCCACCCAGACGCCAGGAGCTCCGTGGGCTCCACGTTTCAGCCGCCTCCGGGGATGAAGGGCTGCCCCAGGGTCTGCAAGGCCTCATCCAGCTGCTCCAACACCCCGAACGAGTCATCGTCAAGGCCGCCTCCCGAGACGAGGTAGACCGAGCCAATCAGGATGCCCCCCTTGACTAGCCCGATGAGCCACTTGAGACTGATCCGCCCCGAACGCCACGGGCGCCTGACGACGGGGGCCTCCCCGAGCCCGAGGCGCGGCCCGACGGCGATCGCAACTCCGCTCGAGAAGCCGCCACCTGTGTCGCGGCTAGGCGCCGCCGTGGTCTTCCAGCCGAGGCGACCTAGGGAGGCCTCTGCCATGCCGCGGTCGGCGGGGGCGACCGCTCTCCTGCAGCAGCACCACGTCTCCCTCAGCCTCGGCCTGCAGGAAGTGCTGGCAGCTGCGCCAGCTCGCGGTGTTGCATGTGGCGAACGCCCAGATGCGCGGGCCGCTCGATGACGGGCCTCTCTGGCGCGCCGGGCCCTCAAGCGCCGCAGCCGACGGCGCCGCAGAGGGAGACGGGCGCAGCGCGGGGAACGGCGACGGGACTAGGCCAGGGTCAACATCGACGAGCTCCACGCCCACGTCGCCATCGCCCGCGGGCTCGCCCCAGCTCGCACCTGCAGGGTGTCCGCGAAGAACCTGACGTGTGGCGGCGGCGGCGGCAAGCCGAGGATGCGGCACCCCGTCGCGCGCCTGCTGTCCCCCCGCCGCAGGGGCCAAGCTGCCAACCTGCGGCGGAGGCGCGGCCACGGGGTGGGGGCCGCTCCTGCTGCCCGCCCGCCCGCAGGCACCATGGTAGGCAGCGCCTGCTGGACGGCGCCCAGCGCCGGGGCGAGCTGAGCCGCCTGGCCCCCCTGAGCCGCCAGGGCACCGACCACGCCGTCGAAGGCTTGGTAGGCCGCTCGCAGCTGGGCGGGGGGGCAAGCTGGCTGCGGGCCTACCAGGGCGCCGACCCGAGCCCGCGCCTCGGCGTACTTGTCCTGGAGCAGCTGCAGCTCGTCTTCGACCTCGACGACGCAATCGATGGTCTCTTGCGCCGCAGCCTGAGCCTTGTCGAGCCTGCCTCGCGCCGCCAGCAGCTGGGCAGACAGGGGGCCCACGTCCTGCGAGGCCTGCGCAGCGACCATGTGACGGGCTCAGCCAGGCCCGTAGCCGCCATGGCACGACGATGGAGCAGTTTGCCCCGCTGGGACTGGGACAAAGAGGGCATGAGAGCGCGAAGCGTGTCATGGTCCAGATGGAGCCAGGACGCGAACTCTTCGTCGGACAGCACGCGCTTGCCCCAAGCACCTACAGGAGGACGAGGGAACCGCCACCTCGGGCGCCTTGGGCTTGGCCGTGCCACAGAGGTAGCACGCGCGCCTCCACTCATTGTCGCCCTTGGCTCGGCAACGCCCGTGGGCGCGCGCCCGACAGTCCCGCCGCCAGCCTCCGCCATCTCCTTTGCTGCCCTTCTTCGTCTTGACCATGAATCAGCGATGGCCGCTGGGCACGGCGAGAACTCTGGGCCCCGGCAGCGCGGAGCTCGAGCGGGGTTGCAAGAAATCGGATGCTAGCCTCGGACAAGAAGTATCCACACTCTGTGCGAGGGCCAGGAACATCTTGAGCCAAAAAAGCAGCGGAACCTCCTCCTCCTCCTCCTCCTCCTCCTCTCCCTCCTCCTCCTGCTCCTCCCCCGCCTCGTCCTGTTCCTCCTCCTCCGTAGCCGTTCTGGCCCGAGATGACAGCCCGGGGGGGGGGGGGGGGGATGTTCAGCCTCCCGCAAAAAGGATGCCTCCAGTCCGCGGCCAGTCTCCAACCTTTTTCCCACTTGCTGACTACGTTGCGTTCTGGCCTTCTGCAGGTGGCGTCGGGGCCTCGCGGCGCGCTGCAGTGCGAGGAATGGCGCCGAAGGCACGTGCAGATGCGGCTGGCGAGCGGCAGTGCACATTGTGCAAGGACATGTGGACAGGTGCTAAGCTGGTCAACCACGCCCATAGAAAGAGTCGCTTCAGGTGTGGGGCGGCTAGAAAGGAAACGCATATGCAGGCCCTCCGTCGACGACATCTTCGGCACCTAGGTGCCTCGATTAATGCAGCACCTTGCGCAAGGAGAAGTTGGCGATGCAGCAGCAACTCAGCATCTTGGACACGCGGGTCAAAGAGTCAGATGCGAAGCTGCAGCAGTTGGAAGGCGGCGGCAAGATCAATGTGGAAGTGGAGCCTCAGCCAGGCGGCGCATGTGGCGACAGAGACCCGAAGCTGGGTATCCAAGGGCTCATCCAGCTTATCGGGTCGAGTCGACCAGCGGCGTGGACGATGAAACCATCAACGCACGTCGTGACGAGGCCATCCAAGAACGTGAAGGTGTGGCGTGGAAAGGACCTGGAGCAGAAGCCGTAGCAGGTGCGGATCACGCGCGACGAGCAGATCATCAAGGCCTGCCAGCACAGCCAGGCTCACTGGCAGCAGAAGGAAGCCAACATCAGGACCAATACCGAGGTGCTCGAGCAGCAAGCGCAAGAGGCGCATGAGCAGTACGTGTCCAAAGGCATGGATTAACTGGGGCTGGAACAGCAAAGGCAGCAGCTGGTGGGTCATGCTGCTCGCCCTCCTGCTAGGTCTGCTGATCGCGGAGAAGATTCCAAGCCGACGCTGGCGAGCCTCACTGCTGATACTGAGCTCTCAGTCGAAACGCCGGGTGAGACGCTGCAGGCTGCGGGGGCGCCTCTCGCGGCTGCGGAAGCGGCAACTGCATGTTACAAGGCATAAGCGGCGGCGAAGGCATCGGCGGTTGCCAAAGAAGCCGAAGATGACCAAGGCGAGCTGGCGAATGCAAGAGCGAAGGGGATGACGACTACTTCACCAAGGAGCTGTTCGAACCCAAGAAATGGAGGAAGCTGTTCGCTATTGGTGGGGGTGGTGCTGATGTTTCTGTACCTGGTGGCGGCGACGAGCTGCGTGAACCTGCCACGCGCATGTTCAATGGGTTGGAAAGCCTTATGCTAGGACCCAAGCGCCGCAAGATGGAAGAAGACACAACCGCGTGAATCTCACGCGCGTTCACTACCCTGTGGGATTGCACGAGGCAAGGTCAGTCCAATGAAGCTGCAGGAGCAGACGATTGAGACGCTGAGCGTCGCGGGCGCGTCGGCGCTGCAAGCATATTTAGCGGGTTGCGAAGCGATGGTGTTGACCGCGCAGGGGCATCACGCGATTGAGTCAAAGGTCGAAGGTTCAGCGTCCAACGGCGAGGTTGACACGGCATGGTCCGTGGGCGCCGGCGCTACGTGGGCCAAGGAAAAGGCTCGCCAGGCGGCGTTGCAATTCTGGTCCCGAAAGACGTGGTGGTGGTGAAGCCGACGGTGGGCGACTACATGATAGGGCCAGGCCGTGCAATGACTGCGAATGCTATGGGGGGTGTCCCTGGTGGAATGCTCGCGGTCTCACCCTACCTACGCCATTCGGAGAAGCTGCAGGAAGCCAACCTGCTGACGCTGAAGAAGGCGGTGGAGTATGTCTGCGAGGCTGACGAACGGGGGCCGCCGTGGACGGGTGATGGGCGGTTTCAACATGACGCAGGAAGAACCATGCGAATGAGGTCTGCCTTTCTTTCGCGGTGTGCTGCGTGTGACTGATGGCCCTGCGCGTTTGACGGCGTTGCCAGGCAGCGCGACCGAATACGTCATCCTATCGCTCTCCTTGGTCACTCGAACGGGGAGCGCCAACTCATGCCGGGTAGCGACGACCTCTCCTGATTTACCTGCGTCAGCGTTGCTGAAAAGGGGGGGGGGGGGGGGCGACGACCTGTGGCGATGCGAGCTGGTGGGGCCCAGGCAACTACCAAGGCGTGCCAAAGTCGGTTGTGCGAGACCGGCTGATGGCTGGGAGGGTCTGTTGGAAGAGATTAAGATGGTTGCGAGTGTCGACGAACTTACTTGGGCGTGGTGCGTCATGATGGGCGCGCTGATGAGACCAGCGCTGGGTCTACATGATATCGCGGGTGCTAAGGTGGCCAGCTATATTCAGGCAGATCCGACGCCAAGAAGAACTAAGAAAAGGCTTGTGCTGCCAAATATCGAGCCCCACTCAGGCCAGGGTACTGAGGAGGATATTCCTTGGCAGCGCTGCGCAGGTTAGATGCGCCGTCTACGGCCGATGAGGACACAGGTGATCACGGCGCCGGGCATGGGGCCCAGATCATTGATACTTTGCAACAGATCAAGGGCAGCGACGCAACTACATCAGAGGTTTAGTCAGGTTGCCGAGACAAGAAGGTTATGATCGCGAAGTCCGCCATTGGCATCGAACTGTCAGATATACGTTTATATGTTTCGGAGGCCACTGGGCGACAGAGCGCCATGGCCAAGGCCGGGGCGACCTGGCCCAGACGGCGCGCAGGTGTCGGAGGGCGCAGTGCCTACCACATGGAGTCCTTCAGCTGGCAGTGGCAAGTGCGCCGCGTAGCCTGCCGATGGGATGGGTGTCTTTCAGCCGCGTGCGAGGGCGACCGTCTCTTCGCCACTGCAGGGGTTAGGCCAGCAGGCTCATCTCCAATGATGCCTGCAGAACTAGGGGGGCTGCCACGGCCGCGTCGTCGCCATGCCCCGAGTGGTCAGAACGCGTTTGGGGACTCTCGGGTCGGCCGGTCCTCTCGGGTGGACGCGTCTCCTGTTGTGCTGGCCTCCGGTGGCCGTCGCGGGCTGCCCTCGTCTCTGCCTCAACGGGTCGCGGCTCGAAGGAACCCGGGGCCTGGGCAGAAGGAAGATGTTGACGCCTGGCGGATTTGCTCGTGAGCTGGACTGCGACCTGGACGGCAGTCGTCGCTACGGGAGCGCGTGCGTTCACGATAGTGGGCTTCGCCGTCCCCGACGAGAAGGGCCACCCGATGGGGGAGCCAGGTCTACGCGGATGGCGCGGTTCCAACTCTAATTTCGCTGAGCGCAAGAGAAGTGGGCGGTCGGTGGTCGAACAGGGCAGTCAAGGGCGGCCGTGCAAAGCCAGCCACGGCGGGGCCCCTGGGCCCAACCAGTCCGCCCCCCGACGCCGAGAGGCTCGCTGCGATCCAGGCGCCGAGGGTGGCTGCGGCGCCGCTATCGCGGTGGCGGATCACCTCTCACTTGTCAACGAGTCAAAGCGCGACTGGTCGATCTACGCAGGGGCGCAGGCCAAACATGATGTGCTCTGGAGACAGATGATGGAGCTAACCGAAAGTGAGAAGAGGCCAACCTTCCGCTGGCCAGGGTCTTATCTCTCGCATGGCCAGGCGGTGGGGAAGGAGTGCGACCTCTTCGACTGGATCGAGAACCAGTGGGCCGATTTCTTCGCGGGGCTGGGCAGGGATGACGTATCCCCTTCGGAGAGCCCCGTACGCGGCTGCCAGCTGAAGTTCGATAGCTCAGTGGACGCGATCACCGCGCTGGGGCAGCTGGCGCAGCGGCACGCGGAGTGGGCGCTGAAGCTCAAGAGGTGTGGGTCGACCAACGCAGGGCCTGTCAATATACTAGCGGCGAACATCGAGTACCATGAGTTCTGGTACAATCCTGACCGCAGTGCGCCACGATGCTGGTGGTGTGGGGAGTGCAGTGCGACGGCGCGGACGGATCATGCGCTTCGGGGCTTGCGGACGAAGGAGAAGTTCAGGTACTGCGAGCCGACCGAGGTGATGAGCTGGGCCGCGGACTGTTCCTTCAGAGATAACCTCCAATTCGTGCCTGTGAACGAGGCGCCCAGGACGGAAGAATTGGTTTCTATGCGATTAGAGCCTCGGGCCTTCAAGCACTTCCGTGGGCAGGGCCATGCGCCGTGCGTTTTCGGCCCGATCACGATCTGCAAGAAGTGCGCAAGGTTTGTATCACTGGTGGCCGTGTTGTCGGGCTGAAGGCAGTGTGTTCAGGGCCGTCTCAGGATGCACGTGCCAGATCGGTGCAGAAATCGGCCATCTGGGCTGCGGCACAGGAAGCTCGGCGTCCACCTGTCCCCTGCGCAGCGAGGGTTTAAGGCGTACATCCCGTCCGTGAGCGTGCAGGCTGTGTCGCTGTACCAAGTGTTGCCCGATGACCGCGCCGTGGTCACAGGTACGGTCGGGGCTCAGGCACTGAGGTGTGGCCTGGGCCCCGCGCGCGCGCGGGCTCGCCCGTGCCCCAGCC